CCTAAACGGGAAAACAGCAATCTCGAACCCCAAAACCTCCAGCCTCAAAAGCTAAAGCTTGTTCCTCGGCTTGGACCCTTAGCCACAAGCCAGGTTGGGATTTGTGTTTTACCGCGTTTAGGGCTTCTGCACGTAGTTTTCAGGACTTGACTTTCTCGTCGTGTCTGGGTTGCAGGTTTCAGCGTAGGAGCCTGATTGCTGTAAGTGCCCGATATTCGCCAGCCCAGGGCCCACATCTACATGCCGATTCAATCTTCGACGTCGAGCCCGCCACCCCGGAACCTCAAACCCACCGTAGGAACCCTGCAAGCTACAACAGCAATGACACCCCGAACCCACGCCATTGTGTTGGTCTTCGACCGTCTCTACGCTCCGCAGGCCCCTGCAGGAAGCCTCTTCGTTTTTTGCGTGCATTAGCGACGAAGAGGACTTTGCCTCTTGCCAGACATGGCCATGGCCGGGGGTGCTTCTGAAAGTTTGGGAGGTCCTCCGGCTTTGGCTGCAGGAAGGGCTTGTGTAAGGCGTAGGGCCAGGGTTCACCGATCTGCCGAAGAGAGCCTTAATGTAGGGGCCTTAATAAGTAGAATAAGGTTTTGGGCTATGTTTTGGGCTATATTAGACTAAGTGACTACAAACACAACCAGGAACCCCCAAAATAATATAGGTAAGCATTAAGGCCCCTATATTGCCCAAAAGGGCTTAGGGTTTAGGATTTAGGCTTTAGGAGGTTAGGGCTCATAGGGTTGAGGGAAAAGACTCTTGGGTTTCCTTGGTTCAGTACTTTTGCTAGTACCCAATCTTAACGCCTAGCGTTGAGGCCTCAAGAATCACCTGTAATCTATAATATTTGGGGGCTCCCTACTATAATTACACTATGAAGGACCCCAAAACCCTATTCTAATTATTAAGGCCCCTATATTGAACACTAAGACCCGTCCAAACCCAACAGTGGCCAAGCCTAAACCGTGAACTCTAAACCCCCCACCCCGAAGCCGAAACCCTCTTCTCTGTGCCCTAAAAACCGAACGCAGAAGCTGGCTGTCCTGTCTTCGGGGTGAAGGGTGTATAGGGTTTAGGGTTTAGGGTGTAGGGCTTCGGGTTTAGGGTGTAGGGTTTCGGTCCATGTATTGAAGATTGCTGGCATTTAGGGGTCTATGTCAGGGTCCCTCTTTCCCATACTCCGGTACCAGAGCAACCTCCTGCGTAAACCTACCCTCAAGTTCATGTCTTTAAATAACATCCCTAGACCTTGGACCCCTGAAGCCAAACCCTTAACTATTCCTACACCCGCCTGTAACCCCTACAAATCCTTACAGTAGAGGCCTACATAATTACCTTTATTATTTTGGGAGTTCCTTATTATAACTATATACTATAAAGAACCCCAAAACCCTCTTCTAATTATTAAGGCCGCAATATTAACCGCAGGACCTGCTCAAGCGCACTTCACTGGCGCAGTTTGTGCAGCACCTCTCGGTTGCTCTGGAGCCTCAGTGGAAACCCTAAACCCTAAACCCTAAACCCTAAGTGTACCAGGACCCTCCAAGTACCCTCACACAGTTTAAAGGAGCCCGAAACGCTCTCCTAACTACTAAGGCCCCTATATTACCCTCAAATAGGGGTATATGGTCCCAAATTAAGGGTATCTAGGATCTCATAGAAGGTGTGTGTATGTATATATATATATATATATGGTCCCAAATTAAGGGTATCTAGGGTCTAATAGAGGGTAGATGGAGGGTCTAGGTATGGTTGATGATTTGGGATGATTTCCAGGTTTCAGGGCTGGGGCGTTGGGCTGCATCGGGCATAGAGTTGAGGGGCTGTGGGTTTAGACTCGTTTGGACTTTAGGGCATAAGGTCAAGGAGAGTTGCTGCTTCGGTTGTTTCGAGGTTTTCCTGTCCTGTTTCTATGATCGTCACCAGCTTGCGTACTCATGTACTTTCTTTCCTACTTGCCTATTTCCACTTGCTTCTACTTACCACTACCGACTACTACCCGCCACTACCTGCTACCACCTGCTCCTGCCTGCTACCTACTCCTACTCCCACTCCTACTTTCTCTAATGCTATGGCAGCAGCAAGCACTTCTGTTGCCCTGCTCCTCCTCCCTGCTGCTCGCATCTGTTGCCTGTTCTGCTGCTGTTGCTAACTACTTGGCAAGCCCTGAAACCTTTTAGTCTCCATCTTTCTCAGATCCTGGGATTCCCGGACGCCGTGCGCAGCTCGGTATTCTCTCGTGTGGCCTGGCTGATCTGCTGCCTGCAACAGCACTCAAAGCATCTGTGCTTTGAGGTTGCCGTAAGAGTGGCAATCGATCGTATAATAACAACAGAATTTAGAAACATCTGCAGCAGCACCAGTAACATCGGCACCGACCAGACAACAACA